AGAGAAGAAAGCCCAGGACAGCTGCAGTCACCGCAGGCCGTGCAGCTGAAGAGCCACCACCACAGGCATTTCAACTCACATAAGGTACTGACTCAAGTTTGGAGCAAAACATCACCGGATGTTCACATGAACTAATGGAATATTACTCAGCCATCAGAAAGGATGAAATCTTACCATTTACCACGATGCAGGTAGAGCTCGAGGGTATTATGTTGAGTAAAATAAGTCAATCAGAGAAAGACAATTATCATATGGTTTCGTTCATATGTAGAATATAAGAAACAGCACAGAAGATCATAGGGGAAGGGAGGGAAAACTGAATGGGAAGTCATCAGAGAAGGAGACAAACCCTGAAAGACTCTTAAGCATGGGGGAAAAACCTGAGGATTGCTGAAGGGGACAGGTGGGAAGATGGGGTAATTGGGTGATGGGCATTAAGGAGGGTGCATGATATGATGAACACTGGGTGTTATATGCAACTGAATTATTGAATACTACATCGGAAACTAATGAAGTATGTTGGCTAGTTGAATTTAAGTCAAGTGTACAGGTTGGCTAATTGAAATTAAATTTTTTAAAAAATGTTCACATGAACTACTCCTTACAGGTGGTCCTGAAGCCAGTGGGGGAGAGCACAGTACTAGATAGAATCTCAACAACAGGGACACTTGAGATGAATGAAGGTCATGGTTGCCACCCACCCCTAGCAGAATAAGCATAGACATGGGCTGTGGTAGGCAGAATCCTAAAGAGCACACACACACACACACACACACACACACACACTAGCATCTCTTGATTACTCATTCAAACACTAATATAGATCCTACCTTGAAGACATTTTACAGGCGTAATGAAAATCTTGAGTACCAAGTCAGTGGACCTTAAGAGAGAAACTCATCGAGTCATGTGAACCCTTGGCAAGCAGAGTTTCTGCCCAGCTGGTAACATAAGAAGTATTCCATCAAGCATCACTGCTGGCCTGAAAATGCAGGGGGCCACACAACAAGGGAAGCAGGAGCTTCCAGAAGTGGCGAGCAGCACTCTGCTGGCAGCCACAAAATGAAGAGGGACCTCAGTTCTGCAACCAGAAGACACTGGATTCTGCTAATGACCGGATTGAACTTGAGAGAGCATATGCAGTCCAGGTGAGACCACAGCCAACCACCACCTGCCTTTCAGCTACAGCCCAGCCATCCATGCTAGAATTCTGACCAACGGGACTATGAGCTGATAAATGAATGGCTGCTTGTCCTATTGGCTCTAATGACACATGTCTCACTATAGAGATCACCACTTTAAAGGGTACAATTCAGTTTTCAGTATCCACTGAGATGGGCAACCATAAGGCTATCTAATTCCAGAATATTTTTATCACCACAAAAAGAAATTCTGTACCCATTAGCAGGTCCTCACCATGCTTTCAGTCCCTGGAAACCACTAATATACTTTGTTTCCATGAATTTGCCTATTCTGGATATTTCGTTAATGGAATCATACAGTATGTGAGCTTTTGTATTTGGTTGCTTGCATTTAGCATGTTTTTTCCTAGGCTTTATCTGTGGTAGCCTGTACCAGGATTTTACTCCTTTAGTGGCTGAGTAATATTCCATTGTATGAGTATATCACATTTTGTTTATCCATTCATCAGTTAATGGACATTTGGATTTTTCCCACTTTTCACTTGTTAATAATTTTGCTATTCTTATTTGTGCACAAGTTTTCTATGGGCATGGGTTTTTGTTTCTCTTAGGGTATATACCTAGACGGGAATTGCTGGATCAAAGAGAACTCTATGTGTAACATTTTGAGGTACAACCAAAATTTCTGAAGTGGCTGCAACATTTTACTGTCCTGTCAGCAATGTGCAAGGGTTCCAGATCGCCTACGTCCTTGTCGACACTTGTTACTTTTTCATTATAGCTATCCTCGTGGGTGTAACGTAGTATCTCCTTTGGTTTTTTTTTTTTTTTTAAGATTATTTATTTATTTATTTGACAGAGAGAGAGAAGGAGAGAGAGAGAGAGAGATCACAAGTAGGCAGAGAGGCAGGCAGAGAGGAGGAAGCAGGCTCCCCGCTGAGCAGAGAGCCTGATGTGGGGCTCGATCCCAGGACCCTGAGATCATGACCTGAGCCGAAGGCAGAGGCTTAACCCACTGAGCCACCCAGGCGCCCCTCTCCTTTGGTTTTGATGTGCATTTCGCTAATGATTAAAGATGTGAGCATCTCTTCCTGGGCTTTTGGCCACTGCTGTAGCTTCTTTAGAGGAATGTTTTATTCAAATACTTTGGGGTGTGTGTGTGTGTGTGTGTGTGTGTGTGTGTGTGTGTGTTTTCAGGAAGGTGCCAGACAGGTCACATAGCGACAGTTCTCTGGGGAGGAAATGCTCTTGGAAACCTCTAAACTTTCTCAGCCCCCTGGAGCGGAGGAGAGGCTGCTGGTATTCCCAGTTACAACAGGTGCAAGGCTCTTGGGTTTTAAAGCTTCCATGGAACTTGGGAATGAGGAGATGTAACGCACATTAAAATGCCCGAAGTTCACTGCTCATGCCGAGATTCAGCTGGTATTCTTGAATTAATTCTCCTCAGATCATTGCAATCTTTTGGTTAATTTTACAGAGTTCTGAAAAAGTTAATTCTGGCAGTTTTTTTTGCCAATGCCCCCATTGTTTATATGGAGGACAAGATTTTCAGAGGCCCTTATTCTGCCATTTCCAAAATACCTCCCTGCTGGGTCTCACTTTAAACAACTAAGTTTGTGGTAGTTTGTGTAGTGATAGAAAACTAATCCATGAGACAAGGGTGAGGACGTGACTGGACTACAGAGCTAAGGTCCGAGCTCCCACTATGGCAAGAATATTGTGACTCTCTGGGGTGGCCTCTGATTTACCTCCTTTGTGGTTTCTCCTTTAGATCTTTTTTCTTGCCCCTCCAGCAGATCCTTCACTCCGATCCAGGAAGAGAAAACCCTAGGCAAAAATCTTTTTCATGTTCTAGGAATATCCTTCCAGATGCTTGCCTTCGAATTGGCAAGCTGTGGCTTTGTTTATTCATTCAGCAAACATGTACCGTGCAACGGCCAGGGTCACCAGCTGTCCCACTTTGCCTAGGACGTTCTATTTTCTAGCATTGACAATGCTTCAATCCAGAAAATAACACAGTACGTGGAAAACTGAAATGGTTTTAAACCCTATAATTCCCCAGGCCTATGGTCTAGGGCAGGCAGGGGTTGGGAAGCTTTTTCCCTAAAGGGGTACATAGAAGGACTTGAGGCTCTGCCGTCCAGATGGCCTCTCCTGCAGCTATTCAACTTGGGTGTTTGTAACACAGAAATGGCCGTGGACAGTGTGTGAACAAAAAGACATGGTTATATTTTGATAAAACTTTATTTTAAAAATAGACGGCCTTACAAGAAAATACACATATGGTCAATACACACATTAAAAAAAAACAAAACAAACAAACCTTGCTCAACACCATCACCCATCAGGGAAATTTTTAAAAAATCAAATAACATCAAAGCCACAATGAAGTATCACTTCCCACTCACCAGGATGGCTACCATCCAAAAAACAGACAGTCGCAAGTGCTGACAAGGGTGCGGGCAAAATCGGGACTCCCCCTATTTTAACTGGTAGATTAAAGGAGCCACTTGGGGAAATAGTTTGGTAGTTCCTCAAGATGTTAAGCCTAAAGTTACCATTTGACTCCGCAATGCCACTCCAGCCGTCTAGTCAAGAGAAATGAAAACCTACATCAACAGAAAGCTTGTGCCCAGGTGTTAACAAGAGCACAGAAGTGGAACGGCCAAGCCAGACACTCTGTCTCCTTCTCACTCCTGTGCAGAGGAGCGCTCAGCCAAAAACACAAATGTCTTCTCTGCAGCTCTCTGAAGCTTTGTTTCCTTCCCTTCTGCCCCAATTCCTGCCCTGCTGGCACTCCCAAATTCCCGTCCCTGTCTCCGTCTCTGGGAGAGACTGTCCGGCCCTGTCTGGGCTCCTTCTTGCGCCGCAATCTGGAAACTGAATCCAGGCAGTAAACTGTGATGGTTGGGCTCCCTGCTTTCCCTTCTGTCAGAGACCACAGGCCGGTGCCGCCCACCACCCAGGGTCAGGCATCATTAAATCATAGACTTTAGCTACTATTTCTTAGCTGCTTGAGGTGGGAGGGTAAATTCAATCTGTTCTCCATCCTGACTGGAAGTGGGACTTCAGTCTTGCCTGCTTTTGAACTTTCTAGAAATGGATCCAGACTGATTGCGTTCCTTTGTCTCTGGCTTCTTTTGTTCAGCATTCGGTCTGTGAGAACCGGCTGTGTTGTTTCAAGCAGCTTTCATTCCTTCATTTTCATTGCTGGTTTGTATTTACATATATTTATTGATTTCTTACCATGTGTGCCAGGAACTGTGCCAGGCTCTAAGGAGACAAGTTTGATCAAGATAAATATAGTTCCCACTCCCAGGAAGTGTAAAAGCGAGTGCAGGGTTCAACAAACTACAGCTCATGGGCAAACCCAGCCTGCTGCTTGTTTTTTAAATAAAATTTTATTGGGCACAATCATATCCACTCATTTATGCATTATCTATGGCTGCTTTCATGCTACCATGACAGAGTGGAGTAGTGAGAGAAGCCACACGCTAGTCCACAAAACCAAAGATGATTACGATTGGTTCTTTCTAGAAAAAGAAAATTGCTAATCCTTTGTCTAGTGGAGAAGGCTTGTAGCTTCTTACTGTAACACAGTACAAACGTGGATGCCAACATCACAGAGACTAAATGACCTACTTGAAGGTACCCAGACCTGTCCAGTGGCATGCTGGTAAGCATTTAACAACTGGGAACTCAAAAAAAAAAAAAAAAAAAAGGAGGGACATATATGATACATTGTACCTTTGTTATAAATTATAAAGAGTACATATACCACATTTTACAAATAATAAAATGTATAATTTTTTTTACAGCATTACATGGCTCTGTGACTACACTAAAAACACACTGGTTGTCTGGGGCTAGGTTGGAGGGAGTGGAAAATAACTGTTAATACACATAGGATTGCTTCTGGAGGCATTAAAAATGTTCTAAAATTAAATCCTGGTGATGGTTGCACAGCTCGGTCCTAAAAACACCCCTGAACTGAAGAGCTTTATTCAGGCCATCCACTTAGTGTCTCTGGGGGCTTGGAGTAGTCTGGACATTTCACCTAAATGAAATCCAACAACGTATGGTCTTTGGGGACCAACAGTAGTCTCTCTTGTCAATTACATATGAGCAACTGGTTCTCACAGAATGCTTTCCTTGGTTTGGATGAACTTTTATACTCAAGAGACAGCCAATGGTTGCAGTCGATGATTGACTGTCATTCCAACATGGTCATGGTATTTCCATTTCTATTCAAGAGTAGAGAGAGAAACAACAAGGACATATGTCAGAACTTCCTTCATCAATGACATGAGCAACTCAGGTGCAGAACGGTGTGATGTTCTGCATTATTAAATCATACAGTTTTTGCATAGTGAAGTCGAGTCGCCCCAGTATTCTATGACTTGCACTATGTAACAACCAAAATCTTTTAAGTTTAATCTTGATCATTAGCATTTTCCTCATTACTTTTTAAGTCTAGACCCAAGATCGGCAAACTTCTCCTTAAAAGGACACACAGCAAACATTTTAAGCTTGTGGGACATACACTTTCTCTTGCCACTGCTCAATTCCCACCCTCATCACCTGAAAGGGGCCACAGACAATAGGTAAATAAAATGGATGGGTCTGTATTCCACTAAGACCCAATTTACATAAACAGATTGAAGGCCTGCAGGCCATGTCTGGGTCTAGACAACCAAGAGTATAAATAAAAGACCTGATTTATGCCGTGTGCCAATCCCACCAGAATTTCAAGCTGCCAATAAGACATCAGCGAATGCGAAGTTAGGAAGACAAACACAGTGGGAGGGTTGCGTGGTGTTCTATAACAAAAAGAGAAAGATTAACAAAATACTGACCACATAGTACTTAAGACAGGAGCTTTGAGGACTATATAAAGCATTCTAATGTTCCATCTTCCTGATCACTAATGCTCTTTGCTCTGGCCATTTTCTCTAAAGATAAGTTATAAGGGAAAGGAAAATTTCGTATTTCTTCATCACACTGATAAATGTTTTGGTTGTAGGATACCAATTAACATTCTAAGTGACTGACGATATTGTATTTTCTTACAAAATGATGACTCTTGAATAGAATAGCCTACATAAATTTCAAAGATGCAAGGAAAGTAAGCTTCTAGTAAACATGTGAACAAACCTCCCTCCAGCGACTGATCCCTTTCTGCCATCTAAAGGGAATGATGACTTCACAACAACCAAGCACAGGTATTTCTCTAATTAACTTACCTCAGGTTACACTGAAATTCAGCAACAACCAAAAATATCAGACCGAGTATCCTCAATAATTCAACAACGTGGTTTATTTAAAAATTTTTAATCTAACATACTGAGGTACAACATAGGATGATAATGTGGATATAACATTACTTGTCTAGAATTCCTTAGTTATTAGCCAGAATTTGGTGAGCACTCACAAGATGTTAGACACTCCACTAAGTAACGTGAAGGATACAGACACTCCCTCCTTCTCCTCCATTCCCGCTTCTAACACTCCCATCCAGGCGCTTGACCAGATCAGGATGACTGCATTTAATACCACCTCTTACGCCCTTCAACTCACCCAGCACCCTATCAGCTTCCGTGATACCACTTTCATGTTCAAAAAGCATAAACTCCTTAGCCTGGCATTCAAATTCCTCAATAGCAAAGCATCCTTTCCACCTTGTCTCCCCCTACACACATTTTTCCTCCAACACTTCTTTGCCCCATAAATATATCTTTGCAGTTGGGACCACCACACCTTTGCACTTGCTGTTCTCCCTGCGTGGAATATTCTGTAACAAAGAACCCCCATCCTCCTGATTCAGAGCTTGAGTCAGGGCTTCTCATCTTATCCACACGCCCCCCCCCCCCATCCATAAGGATCTGTCTAGCTTTTGACTTCCTTACACTTGATCTTAACTCCAATCTGTTCTCCATGTGGTGGAATTAGTGTGAACTGTCAATGCTACCAACTCTATTAGAAAGGGCTCTGTGAGAAAGCCAATTTAAGCAAGATTTGACCTCCCCCCCCCAAAATATCTTTACTAAAAGAATAGTAAGGTAACTTACATTACTAAAGGACTTAACAATCAAATGACCAAGGACAAAGGTGCAGCTGAAAGTTGAGAGGAATTGGAACAAAGCACTTCTTGGACTCCCACAGTCTCTTGCCTCTGTTTCTCATGCGTAGACTTGGTTTCTTCTCAAAGTGGATGACTTCTTGCACATGGCAGTAAGTAGGGCACCCTACAGTTGCTGAATGTCCCGTTTAGTAATGTCTTTTTCCCTCAGACTACAAAGCTTATTTTTTTAGTCTCCAGTTAGAAGGATACTAGGGAAGGATTCAAACTGGCTTGGCAGAGGCCAAGTACCCATTCCTGAATCACTCAGTCATAGCTAAGGGGCAGTGTTATTTAGTACATATGTGGCTCCTGAGAAACCAACTCCCATACATCCAGGGCTATTCCTAGAGTAAGAGGAATATTTATGAATAAGACAATAATCCTAAAAGTTGTCTTGTTCACCTCACACCTTGATCTCCCAGTGTTAAGTGCTATGGGTAAGCTTGTACATCTGCACTCATGTGCACACAGAGGACCTGAGTGCCATAGTCTTAAATGAGGACAGAGTTCTCAATGAAGTAACCACAGACGTGTGGTCTGGAATTGAGGTAGTTAGCAGGATGCCCCTCTGTGCCCCAGGACCATTACTTGTGATGTCCTTTGTCAGAACCTTCAGACCTAGCACTCTGCAGTAAGGATTTTAGATCCCTAAAAGCATAGCCACTACTGCAACCTCTGTTCCCTGGGTTTCTGAAACCCAATAGTGAGCCAACCTGGAGTTATGGCTATCTGTAGCTCCATACTATTCAGAGAGACTGCATGTGCTCTGCTTTAATGCCAGATCCACACTCTAAGCTGCTCTGTGCCTTGCAAAGCCACCGTGGGTAGACCACACGAAAGGGTTGACTTTCTCTCTAGCTTCTAGTTGAGTAGAGCTACTAGGGAGCCCCAGCAGACCACCAGATAGAGGAAGAAGAGTACAGTCAGAGCATTTATCCCCCCAGCTTCCTCCCTGTGGGTTGCCATGGACTGACTGCGTCTATTAACTGAAGATCATTGTTGTTCTCTGTCTGCATAACCTCTCTTGTCTCCAAGTTCCCTTAACCTCTCATAATTCTGTTCTCTACTTCCCAATTCTTGTCTTGGGTCATGACATGTAATAAAGCTAGAATACTCTAAGTAGCTTTGGCAATTCAGCTCAAGCCAGTAGGAGAATCAAAGACCCTGAGAATAATGTGTTGGAATTATGAAAGGGGGAGTTTCACATTGTCAATATCCAAGGGCTGCTTGCCCCACTTCTCCACCCAAAGGATCTGAAGATTTTACCCCTTGCTCCTTACCCATTCACTTTCACACTGCTTCATTCTCTTCCAGAGGAGAATCTGGTAGAACTGAGTGACTTAGGACTACCTCCTGGGATCCTGAGATAGGATCCTGGGACCACGGAAATAAACAGAGGACTGTTGGCTAGGGCAGAAGCAGGGGTCCAGGACAAGGGATAGTTTCCCATTATACCACAAAAGGACTGAAGATAAGAGCCTGCTCACCAGACCCAGGACATAGGACATGGAACAATGGAGGAGCCTGGAATGCACTGGATAAAATAGGAACCACTCACAAATCCTCCCTCCCACCATGGACCAAGAAGGACTCAAGAATGAGACTCAAACCTGCAGTAAAAAATTCTTGAATATTTCTCTGGAATCTGTAATATGTGTAACCTGCTTGGAGCTAAGGTTTTTGAATACTGTAATGTCTCACTCCTCTCTTTCCTTTTGAAGAAACTAGTCCTTTGTTAAATTACACAGAGTTTAGGGTCAGGGGAGTCATTTCCCAGAGCCATAGCCACTGATTTTCTAGACAGGCAGCCTTTCCACGATCACCCTGCCCAGTCACCTGGATCACTAAAATAAATAAATAGACAAATGGATGGATGGATAAATAGATAGATAGATAGATAGATAGATAGACAGACAAAAGGGTTTTTAAAAACTAATCTTTTTGAATTAGGTTTCATTCCAAAATAAATGCCATTAGAGTACAAAAATAAGATAGAGATTGAAACACAATCACATTTTTCTCTGTAAGAATAACTTCCCCAGAGAGAATACAATAGACAATTAATAAGCAAACAGGCCAGCTTATTGGCCTGTTTCCTCTCTTGAAAGCTAGGAAGATATATATTCATTTGCTTTTGCTGCAGTGACAAATGACCACCTGTTTAGCGTTCTAAAGCAACAGAAATCTGTGATGTCCCAGTGCTATAGGTAGGATTGGCTCACCTGGTTCCTCTCTCTCTGGGTCGCAAGGCCAAAGCCAAAGTGTTGGCCAGCTTCAGAAATTCTGTGGAGGCTCTCAGAAAGAATGTGCTTCCAGACTCATTGAGGTTTTTGGCAGAATTCAGTTATTTTTGGTTGTAGGACTGAGGTCCCTGTATTATTGGCGGCTGTCAGCCAGACATTGATTCTCAGTTCCTAGAGCCCTTATTATGGTTCATCTTTAAAACCAACAACAGTAACGTGTTTCTCTTGCTTCAAATCCCTCTGTCTTCTTTAGTCACATTCTTTTGCTCCAGCTGGAGAAAGTGAACTGCTTTTAAAGGCTTGTGTGATTAAATCAGCCCCACCTGAATAATCCAGGGTAATCTCCCCATTGTAAGGTCTGTAACCTTAAATCTGCAAAGTCCCTTTTGCCATGTAATGTAACATATTCACAGTTTCTAGGGATTAGAGTGTGGACATCTTTGGGGTTCTTTCTCCCTACTGCAGAGACACTAAAGCTGGGTCATGACTAAGTGGAGGGAAGGAAGCAGTGTAAACCAAGACTGATGCCACTTTCACATGGGAATTTTTTTTTTTTTTTAGCTCTCTTATTTATAGTCCAACATACTGGGAAAATGCTATGAAAATAAATGTTAATTTCAGTATACTTTTCTGATTACATCTATAAATGTGTGTTGTACATAGAATATCTATACAGTTAAAACCTTGGAGTTGCATATTTAGCTCATTCAATTTATGAAAACTATCTGCCATATAACCTAGTTAGCAAAGCCAGTCCTCCTTATCAAGTTACTCAATCAAATCAACTTCCCATTAGGAAAAAAAAAAACTCTGACTTAATTTTTTTATCCAAAGAAATAATTTGGATAAAAATAAAAAATAATTATACAATCTGCTGAAAAAGACACAAATCACAATGGTAAGCTTACACTACTGTAAGGTAAACTACTAAAAGTTGTCAGGATTAAAATTACTTGGATCTACTATCATTAATTTATGGATTTTTATAAGTTATAAAATCAAGCATAAATCTCTTTGCTGCTTTTCATTATTTAACTTGTAACAGTCCAAAATTTAATGTATAATTAAAAATAAGTTTTTTTCTGAAGGGAGCCTAGGAGAAAAAGGAGGTGGTAGGCATGTGTATCCTAAATGTAGATGTTAGGCCTTCTGGAGAATGTCATGAAGGGACATTGGCATAGGTAATTTCCACCTATGTTCTCAGGCAAGCTATCTCGAAGATCACAGAACAGAAAGGTTCACCAACCAAATTAAAATACTTGAATCAACACAATAAAAAAAAAAAAACTTGAATTACAGAGGCTATTTCATCCACTTGGTACAGAAGCAGGAGAAAGCAATGGGGTAAGCTAACACACTTAGCAAAGGGTAAAAACAGATGAACTTCTCCATCAGGCACCTTAGCCGTAGACACAACACTTTGGGGGCCCACTAAACTGTTTTAATTTCTTATAAAATCAGAAGAAGAAAAAAAGATAATCCAGCCTGGATTATATTAGTCTTTCTTTCAATGCAGTAGTAAAATAGAATTTTTTCTATTTCTTGTTGGAGAAAAGGGCCCAGAAAGAAAGACTCAAGTCCCCAGGGCCCAGGACAGACATCCTGCAGCCCAGGATGGGAAGAGAACACTACCTAAATCTTGGGTCACACAATATTCGTATCTTGTCTTTCCTACATCGATATTCCCCACCGATGGTGGGCTGATGAAACAAGAGTTGAGTTTGGACAGAGGGCTTAGACAGAAAGCGCCTGAAGCCAATATAAATACCAGCTTCACCCAAGAGACTCATGCCTGGCCACAGCCACAGCCCGACAGTTATCCAGCTCTGTAGCTCTGGGTTTTGACGAGTTTCTTAGGCAGAGCCCATGTGGGGCCAGAATAGGACCATACTGGGAGCCTCCAGTGGCTGACCAATTTCAAGATGCCCAGAAATGGCCTCTTCAATTTGTAACTTGGGTCTTTCCTTATTGTTGTAAGTAACATTCATTTGTTCAACTACACATTCCATCTACCCCATCTTCAACACGTCTTACAGATTATGTACTAGTGTATTTAACACACTTACAAATTCTGCCTGTGCCTCACAAATTATTTGTTTGCTCATTATCGATCCCAAACATGTCCAATCAATTTTGCCCAAATCCTGTAAGCTACTAAGCTTCCTTGTTATGCTTTACAATTCTTTTTTGAGTTTTATCCACCCCATTTGTTGTCTAGCCTTTAATAGAAAGACTGAATATTCTCAAATAATATAGAAAGTATATTATAGGAAAGATTAAATAAGAATAATGTATGAGATTAAGAAATGACACCATTAATTCATTAGACACTGTGATCAAACATGATTCATGTAAAGAGAGAGAAAGTTCTATTCCACAAAAGACCACGGGGCTCATCAACCTTTCACCATGCTTCCATCATCACGTTTCTACTTTATACCAGGAGGTGGACAAAATGAAACATTTTATAAGGTGAGATAAGACAAGCATGTTAAGATTGCAATGCAAGTTTAAAAAACGAAACGCAAAAATTTTATCCACAGGTTTTATCCAAGGTAACTTGAAAAATTTGATAGCTCCTGAAAATAGTTCAGTTACATTTTTAAAATTAACCATCCCTAACCTCATCTACTTGGGCCACTCGTAGGTGCTTTTCTTTCCAACTAATGACTTATCTCAGGGATAAGCACTGAGAACAAACGAAAAGGATCCCTTATGTTCAATCTGTGGGAGAAGGTCACCAAGGGAGAGCACCATTTTTAGCTTTTATTATTTCTTATCCATATTCTTTTTGCTTTATCTTCAACAAATTCTCAAGAGCTATGCATTTCTTGGTAACAGGGATAAAAGAGTAGTAAGTAATTAAATGAAAGTCAGGTTCATGGCCTACAGTTAATATATTACTTCCAATTTCAGAGTACAACAGTAGGGGCCCAAGTATCCCCATTTCCAAACCCATGCCTCATCTTTAACAGAAACTTGCACAAGACATAAAAGGGGAGGAAGTTTGGCGGGTGATCCTTGATTTCATCAATTAAAAGACTCTTCCTCCAAGTCAGTATTT